ATACCCCCCCCCCCCCCGGCATTCTCAAGCTATAGAGTTAAACCCCTCCCTGGTCATTTGTCCAAGTTTCCACTTTTTGTAAGCTTCCTTTTTGTGCTTAAGTTCACCAAGGATTTCCCCCGTAAGCCAATCCGGTCTCCTACCATGTTTGCCTCTCTTGCTACGCATCATGATGGTTTCTTTCTATGCCTTCAATAAGACTTCTTTAAAATACTGCCATCTGTCCTGAACTCCTTTCCCCTTCATGTTGGCATCCCAGGGGATTCTGCCCATCAGGTCTCTGAGGGAGTCAAAATCTGCTTTTCTGAAGTCCAAGGTGTGTGTTTTACTTTTCTCTTTTCTTCCTTTGGTCAGGAAATCTACCATCTCAATACTGAAATCTACTATCTCAATCCTATGAGGTGCTAAGTAGCTGCTCTCAGACCTCAGCGTGTTTAAACTGCCACCTGTGCGGAACTCAGCTCGGACTCTGCTGCCCCCCCCACTTGGGGTGTGCTCAGGCTCTGCTGCCCCCTACCTGGGATGTGCTTGGGTTCTGCTGCTCCCCCCTTGGGGTGCGCTCGGGGTCGCTGCCCCCTCGTGCACTGCTACTCTCTCTTCCCCACGCCTCTCCCCAGCCTGCTGGGGAAGTGGCAGAGTTTGGTGTGGCAGGGAAGGTCAGGGTTTCTACACCCTCCCCCCATGCCCTGCCAGCAGGAAGCCTGACCTGGTGTTGCAATTGCGCTGGGTTCCCCACTGCGGGGGTGGGGGGGAGAAGACTGAGCTGCTGGGAGAACCAGAGTGTGCTGCTTGGAGGCTTTCCCTGCTGCAGCAGGGTGCCAAGCCAGGTAAGTGTCCCCCCTCGTGCTCAGACCCCACACCCAAATCCCCCTCACTCACTCCCCTCCCCCCACCAAGACTTGAGACCGTATTCCCAGCGTGCTCTGACACCCTGCCCCAAATCCCCTCTTGTACCCTCCCTCCTGGCCTGACACCCTGCCCCAAACTGAGCTGAGCAGCTGGGACCCTCAGATAACTGGAATTTTTAGATGACCAGAACTCACTAATCCCCAAGTGTCCTGGATAACAAAGATATTACTGTATCAAGAGTATTACCATATATCAGTAGTCTCCAACCTTTTTAAGCATGATCACTTTTTAAATTTAAATGCAATCCAGGATCCACCTCAAACCAAATACCCTTGCCCCACCTCCTTCCTGTCCCTTCTCCAAGGCCCCACCCCTGCTCACACTATCCTCAGTCCCCCATCTTCATTCACTTTTATCAGACTGGGGGAAGAGGGTTGGGGTTCGGGGGAAGGGAATGCAGACTCTGATCTTGGGCTAAAGGATTTGTTGTGTGGGAGGGATTCTGAGCTGAGCCTGGGGCAGGGAGTTGAGGTGCTAGAGGGGGTTGAGGGTGCTGGCTCTGGGAGAGAGTTTGGGTGCAGGGGGACTTGGGGCTAGGGCAGTGGTTTGGGGTACAAGAGGGGTTCAGGACTGGGGCCGGGGTTTGGAATATGAGCTCCAGCTTGGCACCACTTACCACAGGTGGCTTCTGGGTGGTAGCGCAGAGGACTAAGGCAGGCTCACCCCTTCTCTGGCTCTGTTCCACTCCCAAAAGTAGCCAGCAAACTCTCTCCATCCCTGCCTCCTTCCCTGCTCTGTTCAGATGTGGTACCCTGACATTAGCATGTGTACCCTGACATTGCACAGAAAGCAGGAGGCTCCTCGGGCTGGTGGGGAAGCTCCAAGAAAGAGGGCAGGAGCAACACGGCAGTACTTACAGGGACAGATGAAGTGCTGGCACTTGACAGCCTCCTGTCAGGATCACCTGTTAAAGGCTCCAAGATCTAACAGTAGATCCCGATCTACTGGTTGGTGGCCACTGCCGAACATGTAGGTTTATCTTCTGACAAAAACATTAAAATTCTATTTTAACTATTTGTTTCTATTGATTTTATATTGTGAATGTGCTTATGATACTTTTTACTATATTTTTTTTGTTATAAACAGTAAAAGCATCATTCCAGAATGTCAGAGAACCAGCCACACAGCAGTACTCAGATATCAGAACCCAGTACCAATGGCTTACCTTGGAGAAAACTGTCCTCAATAGAAAAGCCAAAGTTTCCTGAAGAAGCTACTGTGACCTTTCACAACATCTGCTACAGAGTGAAAGTGAAGAGTGGCTTTTTATTTTGTCAAAAAGCAATTGCTAAACAAATTTTGAAAGATATCAAGTACGTATTTTAAAGTATCTGGTGTATGTTGATTTTGTTTTCTTTTTCATACAAGTTAGTCAATAACCTCATCTCAACATCCATCAAATACTTTCAGGAATGAATATACAGATGAAATAACTAAGAAATACAGGTTTTGAATTCACACTTTTTATGTTAACTTTTGTATTTGTTTATAAAATACAATTCATGTGATATTGATACGTATACAAGAGGATTATAATATCAGTTGTGTGTTGTTTAATTTAAACTGAACACTGTACCAGTATATCACCAATTAGATGTATTATTATTTTTATAAAAGTTGTGTGATAATTTTTTAAAAATGAAGAAATTATCTCAGCTGGTAGTTTAGAGCCCTTATATAGAAGTGGTGGTTGCAACACAGCATAGAAATACCAGTTCAGTTGAAATTTGAAATTCATATTGAAACTCTGTTGTATTTGTGAGTTTGGAAACCATTGTGCAGACACTTAAAACAAGGCCTGCCTTAGTTCTGATGATAAATAGCTTTCTGGTCAGGTTTGTGAATAAGTCACAGGTTTGTCAGAAAAAATGTAAGGAAAGATGTATAAATGTCCACACTACAGTAGGTATGCAATCAGACCTGAACTTTGGGAGAAAAAGAGGAGTTAAGTGTGTTGTTTTTAAAAAGCCTATGAAATTATAATATCTCTTTCTTTTTATAAATATATTAAAAAATTGTCCTGCGGGACGATGTCATCAGCATCACCTTGCCTCCCCCAGCCCATGTTTAGCTCCAAGCAGCTTCTCTAGCCTCCCTCTCCCTGGTTCTTCAGGGAGGCAGGAGCCATGCAGTCTCTCCCTCTCCCCTCCCACACACACTCCCCATCTCTGCCAGTGAGTGGGATGAGAATAGGGGTGCAGGATCTGGGTGGGAGGTGAGGTGCAGGAGGGGATGATGGTGCAGAATTTGCCCAGGAGGGAGGGTGCAGGAGCATTCTGGGGGTAGGATGTGGGGCAAGGGGGAGGGTGCAGGAGCAGGCTGGTGGGAGGCCATAGCACCCAGAGGGGAGGCAGGGAGGTTGGTGAGCGTAGTGAGCAGGGGGTGCAGCCAACTAGTAATTTTGTATATTTGAAAACTAAAACATTAATCGCTAGAAGATCATTACAAAGTTTGCAGTCTTGTAATTTCACATTACTGTGGAACTTAACCAGTTTCCACAGGATTTTTTTTTACAAACACTCAAGGCCTTCAGATTAAATGAATTAAATCTACAAATAAAACAGTGAATTCGAGAAATGTTACTTTTGTTTGCAGTGGCATTATGAGACCCGGTCTTAATGCAATTTTGGGACCCACTGGAAGTGGCAAATCTTCGTAAGTGTTGAAGCCATTAAATGACTTGTTTTATGTTATGCATATTCATCATGTTGAGAAACCATTGCCAAACAGAAAATGTGCCTGAATACTTGAATGGTTATAACTGGGTCAGACTAAAGATCCTTCTAGCCCAGTGCCCTGTTTTCCAAATAGCTAGTGCCATGTGCTCCAGGAGTCAACAGGCAATCATAAAGTGATCTTTCCTCTATCATTCATTTCCAGGTACTTGCAAACAGAGGCTAAGGACACTATCTCTGCCCATCTTGCCTAATGGCCATTGATTATCTGGTTCTTTTTTGTATCCTGTTCTGGTCTTGGCTTTCACAACATTGGCAAGGAGTTTGACTGGTTTACTATATATTGTGTGAAAAAAACCTTTCTTTTGCTTTTTTTAAAACCCACTTTCTATTATTTTCAGTTGGTGATCCTTTATAATGATTATTAAGACCACAGAAACCATGTGTTAAATCTGACTTTAATCCACACTCTTAATTATGCCCCAAACGTCACCTATATCTCCTCAAAAGCATCTCAGATTTCCATGCTCAAAAATAGGGTATCTGGAGTTCAGATACTTGATTTAGGTGTACAAACTTCATTTGTGATGTAAATATACATTTGGGGAACTTATCCAGCTGGCATATATCACAGCAGCTCATAGGCTAATGAAACCTTTGCCAGGGCCAGCATAAAGACCCCATAAAAATTGGGGAACCCTAACCCTGACAGTTTTATCTCTGCTTACTAGGTGAGCAGATCTTGTCAACATCAAAACTGATTGCACAACATAAAGTTAGTTAACTAGATTTGTGTGCAGATTTATCTACCACTTACTCCAGTGTTCAAAGATTTAATTTTCAGAATCCTTTTGGGAGCCTGATTTTTCTTTTTCTAGGCTATTGGATATTATAGCTGCAAGGAAAGATCCTCATGGGCTATCTGGAGAGATTTTGATAAACGGAGCTCCTCGGCCTGCCAACTTTAAATGCATCTCCGGATATGTTGTACAGGTAAATGAACCTGCGGTTACTATCTGCCTTTACTGTTTTAACTTCCCTCTAGAGAAAGGCATTTTGTTTTAAAATTAACCATTAACTGACGCAAGATCATCTCATCTAGGTTGTGCCTACAAAAGCTCATGATACTATACATATATTTTTGTTAGTATCTAAGGAGACAGAGTATTAGAGGGGTAGCCATGTTAGTCTGGATCTGCAAAAGCGACAAGTAGTCCTGTAGCACCTTATAGACTAACAGATGTATTGGAGCATAAGCTTTCGTGGGCAAAGACCCACTTCTTCAGATGCATGTGACAGAGGACCACTTGTTTTATTAAAAGTTGTTTTTAAAGTTGCAGACTAACTGCTAGCCCCCTGAGACACTAATAGTTAGTTCATACCTATAGTGAGAATTATGGTGTAAAAATTACTGAAAAAAACCCAACCATGTGCTCCGGGCCGTGGCTTACTTTTCATCCTGTTCCCCAGATGTTAAGGGAGTGAGGGGGAAGTACTTACATTCTGTGCTTGCCTTTGTGCTTGCCTGACCAGGTGTGAGGGACATGCATGGAATCTAAGTATTTTCCCCTCACTCTCTTAGGCTACGTCTAGAGTGCATCCCTTTTTCGTAAAAGGGATGCAAATTAGATGTATCACAATTGCTAATGGAGCGGGGATTTAAATCTCCCCCGCTTCATTAGCATAAAAATGGCTGCCGCTTTTTTTCCGCATGGAGCTTTGTCGACAAAAGCGCCAGTCCAGACGCT